CCGGGTTGGGGTTTAGCCCAAAATGGTTTGAGAGTGGAAGGATTCTCTCCCTGGAGTGTCTTTCCCACCTTGGTCACATTATTGTGCAGTTCGGCAGCTGGGGAATTGCAAGGCTGTAATTCTGAAACACATGCAGAGCCTCAGGTTGGGTGAAGTAAGTTTCTCCCTTCAGCTCAAGGGCCCTTCCAAGGACTAGCATTGTCCAATCCAGTTGACAGGTAACTTGTGACAGAACATGCCTGAGACCATCGCTGGGAGCAGCTGCCTCTTGACTGAGCACAGTCATCTCTGCCCCACAAGGCAAAAGAGCTTGAGGTGAGGAAATGCTCCTGGATCTCCTGAAGATAACGATGTGTAACCTGATTTTTCCTTCCTGGGTCTAGGAAATTGAAGACGACCTGGTGAAAAGGAAACACGAAGTCAAGAGGACCAACGAAGGCGCTGTGGTGCAGGCCATTCTCTGGACTGGAAACGGTTGGGCTGCAGCCTCCGATTCCCGCAAAGGAGGCTTCCCAGCAGGATACTAAGCTGGCCAGCTACATGTTGCTCAGAAAGCCCGAGCTTGACTGGCCCACCACTTTCTACAGATCTCTGGAGCAAGTGATTCAGTGTCTCACTGATATGGGGTATGGGGTAGATTTATAATGACATAGGATAATGAGATGACCATGGGACAATTGTGCACTACTTAATTGGCAAACACTATAGATGTAGGGATAGGGGGGGAAATCCAGCCATTGACATCAGTTTGGCTTTGGCATTTCTTAAGGATCTACAGAATCCTGTTGCTCATTGTTTCCTTGGTGGATCCCCTGATGAATGCAGGAAATGCTGTCCAGGCCTCCTGGAGAAAGCCAGGCAACCCGAGGTGGATTTTGTAGCTTGGTGTCTCTGGTGGCAGAAAAGGCATCCTGGTTGCTTCCACTGGGCTCTCCAGATGGGTCAGCAGGTGGCACTCTACACCCAGCAGAAGAAGAATGATGGGTTCTCCCTCCAAATGTCACTGTTGGAGGGGGTGAGAAGCGATGGTCTCCACATGGGCTGTCAGCAAAGACAGTGTTTTGTCCAGGTGCAAGGAAACTTGATAATTGGGCCACTTTCTGACCCTGGTTCAGAAGACAAGCAAGGGAATGTGAGAAGATGTGAGCCTTGGGAGACAGACAGACTTCTCTCCCTCCTTTGCCAGCCGTGACCCCTTCAGCTACCCCAGATACTGTTTGGGCCAATCCACCCTCCCCCAAGCCACAGTGGGCTGGAAGGCATCCCAGAGGGTGGGGGTGGGGTTGGGGTTGCACTCTAGAGGGCCAGGCCTTTCCCAGGGCAAGGCATCCCCTACCCACGGCAGAAGCCAAAGGGTTGGTATGGTGCCAACCAAAATGGGGCCAGGGTCAAAAAGAAAATTACTTCAAAATAGCTAAGTGTAACACGGCTGTTTCTAATATTTTCATTCATTCTCAAGTGTCATGCCCAGATATCACAACCAGATGATTACTTCCCGTCATTGAGAAAACTATTCATTCAGCTTAAAACTGCATGTCCTTTTTGAACAGATTCTAGTCAACCTTCAATATCTTTTTGGCAAGTCTGTGACCAACTAGGTATTTCCCCATCTTATGCTGGGCATCTGATGGATCATTTTCTAAGTAAGGAGCTTTGTGGCTGTTGCATTTCATTTATTTCTCTGTATCACTTTAAATTTTGTTTCTTTTGAAGGGTTTTTGTGTCATATAACCCTTCCTGCCTTGGCTTCACCATTCATCAGTAAACTGGGAGGTCCAATTTGGAAAATGTGACCTATCACTTGACAATGCCTTTCTCCAGTGTGATGAGGAAATGTCAATGAGACTAGTTCCAGGCTGCATAAACAGGGATAGAATCAAGATCACATGAAGTGTTAATACCACTTTATAATTTTGTGGTGGGTGGTGGGGTGTTTGGGGATTGTTATGTGTGTTGGGCCTGGTCTCTGGGTGTAATGTGAATTTCGTTGTATGTGTAAACTATGTATAGTCTGTATGTACAATAACAATAAAGTAAAGAATGCCTTGGTAAGGCCACACTTGGAATTCTGCATTCAGTTTTAGTCACCACAATGTAAAAAAGATATTGAGATTCAGGAAAAAGTGCAGAGAAGAGCAACAAAGATGATTAGGCAATTGGAGGCTAAAACATATGAAGAACGGTTGCAGGAACTGGGTATGTGTTGTTTAATGAAAAGGACTAGGGGAGACACGATAGCAGTGTTTTGATCTCAGGGGCTGCCACAAAGAAGAGGGAGTCAAGCTATTCTTCAAAGTACCTGAAGGCAGGACAAGAAGCAATGGGTGGAAACTAATCAAGGAGAGAAGCAACTTAGAACTAAGGAGAAA